GAACTCTGATGCCATTCAAGTCAGCAAATAAGGTGAGGGTCAGTGCAAATGTGAGTCTCCGGTGACCCTGCCCAACCATTCACTGGTGTGCATGGCAGTGATGTACTGGGTGATCAGTAGGCTTGAAGTGATGCTTCATTCAGACTTCTCCAAACTAAGTGATTATCAAACTGACATGGAAGACTTAAAAACCTTTTTTTCTGGGATAATATTGTGGGTTTAAATGTTGTCGGCAGCTGTTAAAATGGCCTCTACCACAGATTACAATTTAATTGAAGTTTTTTCACCAGCAAAGTGAAGACCTCAGATCCCTAAACAACTTAATTTATAATATAACAATATATAATGCTACTGATGTGACTTGAGATGAGATATTAGAAAAGGATTCACTAGAATGTGTCAAATCCTGCAATGGTAAATGAGACTTGAATCAGAACTGTTCTCACTACAAGCAAAAACAACAATGTACTTGTCAGGACCAAGGCATTAATTCAAGTGAGGTAAAATTACTAACTAAACAGAAAAGAACAAAATCTGTTGAGGAGTTGTTTCAAGGTTTACAAAATATTTATTTCAGTCTCTGCAAATGTCTCTGTTGAAGCCATTTAAAAAGAAACAAAGCAATATTACATAAACAAGGATCTGAGGTCTTCAAAAATTATATTTTTCAAATCTCTTTATCAACAAATCTATGGAAAAATTGAAATATTTTACTTGTTCAAATTGTTCAATTTTCTCGTGCAGTTATGAAATTTACCAAATTACACAAATTTGACAGTGAATCAAATGTACAAGCCAGAAAGATGGTGATTACAAAATGTGCAAAGCAGTGAACTGAGCAATAAGAACTTATCAATGTAAAGTACACAATATTAATGATCTAGAGGTAAAAGGTGACTCATTGAAGATGGGAAGAAACACCAAACCTCAGAAATACAAAGTCTATACTTGCAACAAGAAGTCAAAGAGGATTTTCTACCTCTAGTTGTACTTTAACCACTGCATGAAGCTCAGAAATGAACTAAATTGACTAGAAAAATGTTTGCTTTGACCAGGGACGTCCCTGCTTTGACGCACACTGTAATAGTGTACTTGTCTAGAAGTACTTATCTGTTTTGCTCCCTAGAACAGTAAAATTTCCTATATTTGGTGAATGATTACGCAGCCAAATATAGTTGTTGWCATTATTACAGCGGCCCTTGCACTTGTCGAAAGTTTCTTTGCTGGTGAAAAAACTATCTTAGGCTAACATTAAAATAGAACATAAATCTTTCTGTATTTGCCACCATTTCTTAGGACACTTTGCGATGTTTGGCAGTGAATTAAATAATTCAAAATGGCTTCTATGTTAATCAATTCAAAACGGCTTCTAGGTTAATCAATTCAAAATGGCTTCCAGGCTAATCAATTCAAAATGGCTTCCAGCCTAATCAATTCAAAATGGCTTCCAGGCTAATCAATTCAAAATGGCTTCCAGGCTAATCAATTCAATATGGCTTCCAGCCTAATCAATTCAAAATGGCTTCCAAGTTAATCAATTCAAAATGGTGGCAAAGTAAATTAAAGTTAAACCTTTAGACTTTTCCAATTAAATTGCATGGTGGTAGTTGGCCTTATCAGACTTGACCTTCACATTTAACTCNCCCTCCCCACCCAGTTGGACCATACTGGAGAAGATTGACATCGTGTAAATAACTAAGTTCTCGTTAGAGTGGAAGGTACCAAATTATTTTAATTGTGTTGTTTAAAGTGTCACAACTATTAAATAGTAATCAGCCTTACGTTTCATGAATTAAATACAAGTCATATACTCTAATACAGCTTTGTGTAATACTACAGTTTCATTTTGCTGTCACTGTGATAGTTTATTGCCAACACAATATTCCATCATATAATAGTAAGTGTTTAATGTTTTGTCAATGAACAACAAGCTTGCCGAAGCTACTTGAATCACGACTCATTTCTACAACAAGGTCAATTCACTTCTGTTAAAGATTGACGTAATGAAACCAGGGTAGCAATGTGTACGAAAAGTTTGCAATGTAACAACTATCACAGTGACAGCAAAATGAAACYGTRGTATTACCATCAAAAATATAACACAAACTAATAAGAGAAGTACTCTCACAAAGCAAACAATTATATGCAGATAAAATGCACTAAACACGAGTGCAAATAGTCTTGTACAAAAGAACCAATTATTCATGCAACAAATACTCTGTGTTCAAACACTTCACATGACATCTGTGCAAGTGAACATGAGGTGAATTCCAAGTGAAACAGTATTTGATTAAGATCTGCTTGTCTATTCACTTAAAGCACATCTCCGACATAAATAATTGTTTAAAGGCATGACATGATTCGACCACCAATGTCAATGCTGCTGTTCCTACTTCCTATGAAAGTTGACAATGACACCTGTACATGCTTTAACCAATGTTTAATTCTCTATTATTTTTCAATCAACAGTTCTAAATCAAAGTTTCACTAGCAAACTACTGCAAGACAAGGTCAACACAGCACAGCATATAAGAAGCAATGACACTGGTGGTTACTGTAGTGAGAGTACTTCTCTGTCAATCTTTTCCAGTATGGTCCATGATTCCACCCTTCAACCCTTCCTCCCCTAAACCATACTACTGCATGAATACCAGTTAGACCCAGTTATAACCAGCATCTGAAGAAACATGCATTTTATCTGCAGAATTATAGGATAAACCTTCATCATTTGCCCATTTGGCTTTCAAGAAGAAAATGCCTTTTTATTGTAATCTTCAAAGTCCTTCTGTTTGTTTGTTTTGTTTTGTTTGTCTTTTGACTCAAATCTAGATTTACTATCAACAAAACATGAACTGCAGTCTATAAAAGAAAAATCTTTCTGATGCAATAATTTTTTGCTTGTTTCTCCATTTTGTTTTCTGTTTAAACAGAACTGTGTTGTCAAACATCAATATTGTCAACAAAAATG